GGGCAAAGCAGACAAACATGTGAATGAAAATTTGTCAGAAGAACCTGAGGAAGGTGAGGGTGTCATTTGAAAAATGGCTGCTGGGAAGACTTGGGAACATTCACTTTTTGGGGGGTGAGTTTGTTTTCGGTGGATAATTTACAAATTTATTGGTTAACCCACTAAAAATTGAAAAAAAAATGAAATCCGAAGGACCAAACGACACATTGTTTTTTGTTTGAGAGGCCTCAGAGACTTCAGTTGCCTGCCATGGGGCTCCAAACTTCATTGATTTTACACCATTTTCAATGGAGCTTAAATTGGTTCAGTGCACCCTAACCAATCATCAACCATGCTGACCTTTAACCTTTCACTTTAATTTTTATAATTAAACCCCTAATCCAATGCCAATAATTACAACTTCAGTTGGGATCAAAAGGTTGTACTGTGCATACGACATTTCAAACAGTCTGAAGAGAATAACTCACTTGGTAAACAACTGCTGAGTCAATTAAAATCACTTTGTTTTGTGACTCGAGACGGTAATCTTGACCTTTGACCTTACTGTAGATCCTTAAACCAACCTGCAGTTATGGGAGAGTGTACCCAACCTTGTTTTGGTTCTTTAAAATGGAAATAGTAGAAACAAAACTGAATCTAAAGTTTTCCTCTAAGAATAATTTTCTATCATTCACAATGGTGACCTTGACCTCTGACCTCATTTCTGAAACAAACCTTCCTTGTCCTCACTGAAACCATTCATTGGCATTTCATTAAAACCAAAATTGTGTAGTACACATGGAATAATCCTGAAACAATTTGCATATTAGTTACCATGTAGCTTTCTTGTTTTTTTTTTACCTGACCTTGACTTTAACCATTGACCCTGTAGGCCAGTTCCCATTGTTCTTACTTCAAACAAAAACTATGCATAACAATGTAACTGTCAAGGTGTTAATAAAAGTAAAACCACTCATGAATGTTTCTTTTAATTCAAAAAATAAAAACACAAGGTCTGCACTATTTAGGAGATACATCAATGGTTCATGTGGAGTGCACTTACCACGAAATGACATAAAACAGTCTCATTACCCATTTCATTGATGTCATTGTCTGTAAAACAAAGCAAACCCCAAGAACTGTCAGAAGAACAGCATGAGTATGTAAATGTACTTCAGCAAAGATTACAAGCAGCAAAAGATTTCAAATTCGTATCCCTCTTGTCACACACCATGCATGCCAATGCCTCTACAGTGTAAAATGCATTATGCTGCAATGCATTATGGGTAAAAAATTAAATTGTCAATTATTTAAGACCTGAAAGGTGTTGCACATTCAAACGAAAACAGACTCATGCCTGAAAATACAAGCAATAATTCTGGTGCACTTTGGGGGAAAAGTGGGCTGATTTTTAAAAAAAGTTAAAAATTAGCTTTTAACTGTGATTGAAATGTTCATCCGTGCGTCTCATAAACCCAATTTCAGCTCGCATTAACTCATGCCTTAAACTAATGAGTAAGGAAAATAATGAGCCTGGGTGACGCCAGGCTCCACAGCAACACATTGTCTGTGAAGAATTTTTGATGGGGGAAAGGTTGCCCTAGGTGTGTCCCACCTACTTTAGTGGGATGCCCTTGTTGTGTGATCTACCCCTACCTAATCAAACAAAGACAATTGCCAGGGGAGAAATTGTACTCGACTCCCTCTGTTCACCTTGCAGATTAATACTCTCCACTAACAACATGTTCCCAATAATGTACACCTAACACTATCCCTATAACTAAATATCCTTCCCAAAGACACACACCTACCCCCACCCTCTGGACTTGGAGCAGCCCAAAAAGTTATCGTTTGAAACCGTGACTTGTTCTACATGGTGCCCATACCCAGAAATATTAGGCCTGAGGTTCTGCATTGAACCCTAGCTTATCACCTGCTATTTGTGTCTTTAGCAAAAATTAGCCTAAAACCATCCACTGAAAACAGGACCATTTCCCTAAAATGATTCTCTAATTCCCTTGAACATAAATTAACCTTTTCACGAAGGCTACATCTGTACAGCCTGTGAAGTGAATGCTTTGAGCAACATCCTTCTAAACTGCAATGTCTAAAAACCCTTAGGAATTTTGCGGAAACCAGGTTGCCAGAACTCTGTGGTTTCAGACTCCCCAATTCTTGAGGGGGGGGTAAGCAGTGAGTGGTTATTACAGTATACAGAGGGTGTCTTACGTGCAACAGGGTCAGCTTATGCGCTCTGTTGAGTCTGTCTTTTAACCTGAGGTACACGTTCAGTGCATAGTTGACAGTAAGGAAGAAGCTGATGACATTAAACATCTGGGCATCGAGAAAAAAAAGACATGGAAATCATATTATTTCAACTTTCGCTGGCATGCAAGTTTAGACAAGAAAAAGTACTTTGCTTGAAGGGTCTTCTTTTACAGAAATGGATGAATGTTGAGGGGGGATATGAAGTTTTGGAGGAATCTTTCAATTTCAATTTTTGGAGTCACAATGTTCGTGTACATAATGTACATGTAGGTAGCCTGTATGAATACTTCTTCATGTGCGTGAACATTGTTCACGTCGAGCAACATCTTGTTTTTTTTTCTGTTCTTCCTCTTCTCTTTTGTAATTTACAATTGGAATAGGGTCTGCTCCTTGTCCATCTCAGTCATGTTTTTGCCAACTTGTGACAGGTAAAACCATGGCTGGCAGTTAAGGACAAAAGCAGAGGAAGAAATCTCAAAATTGCAAAGTGGTAAGTAGTCTCTGGCAACTATTAAGACACCAAAGAATAAACACCACTACAAACCGCTAGATGAAAATACCACCCACTTTCAAAGTATTAAAAGCGAGAATTTGAATAAAAATCTCACACCAACCCCAGACTGATGTTTTCCGCAAACTCTGATCACCCACACAAATAGGTGGTAACCTAACAGAGGTCTATGGAGTCATTTACCTCAGTGACGGCCTGGAGCACAGTGCAGACACGGAATCCCACAGACCCCACTCCATCAAAGGGGATATTCCACAGAATTGCCCCCACCAACCAGCAAAAGGCCAGGCCCAGATCGGCAACAGCCAGGTGGAACAGGGGACGGACCTGCCAATGAAGCACCAAGCAACAATGCACTCAGTTCGCTAGGGCGCCCATGACACAGTACATGTATCTGAATAATTGTTTTCTTTCATTACCTTATCCAAGAGAATCACTAGGCTAAGAGCAAAAAGCCAGGCCCTCTTTCTTTCTTTGCTTTTGAAGTAAACACTCACTCATGTTGATTTACACAGACGAAATAATCAGAGGCTACATGTAAAATTACGGCTCAATTAAAGAGGATGCATGTGTGCACATGTTATCAACACAAATACTTTTCACAACTTTTTTTGGGGGGAGGGGGCGCAGGGAAGACGCTAAAACCTGTTAGAAATTCCCCAAACTGTTTTATAATGGAGAAGAAAGGGTAACATTTTTGGGTCTCAATTGATGTTTTTTAATACAGTCTTTTCATTTTTGGTTGAAGGAATCCAATTACCAGTACATGTATTATACATTGTAGCTTATAGTTTTGCCTATTCTAAGGTTTGAGTAAAGTACAGTATTTACCTACTATAGGCATACCACTAATTTGAAATAAACAAGTACAGGTGCTGACACAAGAAATTGATCTTGAATTAGTCTCTGCTCTTCATTTTTCTCCCTCTGCCAATACCCTGTGACTTTTGGAGGCACAGAGTCCAGGTCTCAGACATTCCACTGACTCATCCAGGATTTGCAATGATCTTCTGCTAACGTTCAACTTTCCCCAAAAGTGGATATTCCAGCCCCTTTCCACTGTGGGCCAAAATGTGTCATCGTGCTCTTTTAGAAAAGGGCACAAGTGCAACAAGTGCATGCACATGTATTTAAAATAAACCTGCCACAAATTCAGCACAAACCCACTCCCCAACCCAGGAAATGGTCACTCCTGCCTGTTACCGTACCTAGTTTCACAGTGTAAATTTAGATTCACTGTACGTACATACATTATATGTACTGTACCTGTTTAGATGCAGGACCATACATGTACATGTACAAGTAAAAATGTACCACAAGTACATGTACATACGTACATTGTACATTGGGTCATTTTATTCATTTAGGGTCCAAATGTGAGACATTTTTGTGTCCCTGCTTTTCTTGGCCTGTGTAATTTGACGCAGTAATACCACTGAAACTGATGTCAAATTAATTTTATTTGCACGAAAGGTGATCTGCATAACTTTATCACTCTTGGAAATTAAAGGAAAAGTTCTACACAAAATTGGGTGTCACATGTGACAGGGACACGAAAGAAACTGGACCCCAAACTTGAAATTTACAGTGAGTCAACTCTGGACATATCCACCATCCTGTGAAGATGCATGTTCTTCGCTCACAAAAACCAACCCCAAAATGCATGCGCATTTGTAAAAAGAATGAGGTAAGGGCCAAATTCCTCAATGTTTCTAGTACTATTTAACATTTCTGAAAATTCTAGAGGGAGTGGCATGTGATATTTTCACTGTATAATGTATTTATAGATTTTCATTTGGGTGAGTCAGGCCCAGGAACACGACGGACTAATCATCAGATTCCTATATATAAGCTGGACCAACCTCAGTAAGAATCGCTATTAATAAACATAATGATTTCATCCACCTTTTGCAGGGCTTCTGATAAAAGTGGAAAGTGTCCCAGCTGAAAAAGGAAATGGACATAGTAGGCTATTTCTCACCAACCTCACCTTAAACAAGTAACAGGGTACATGAAAATGGATGGTATTTACCCAACTTTGCACATACAGTGGAAGTAAAATTTTACTTACATGTACTTCAAAATGCAACACAGTTTTGTTTTTGTTTTGATCACAAGTAAGGGAATAAATATGTGCCAGGCCGGTCTTAAACGTGCATTTAAGACAGGCCCAGGAGAATGAACACGGCTAATGTCCGAGCAACAGGCGAGGGCATCTTCAGCATTCAGTCTCCTGAACCGGTATTAAACCGCCATGCACATATTTATCCCCATTCATAAGTACCTTTTTTAGTCAGAGAGTTAAAAGAATTCAATATATGATGGATTTCCAACGATAATATTCTGGAATTTCACTTTGATTTTCCTGAACACCCCTGTCCATTTTATGGTGTATTCCTTGTCTAAAAGAATGGACTTGGTGCACATGGCGAGCCGCGTGTACAGCGGACCAATCTTGACCAATCAGAATCGATTAAGCTCTCTCGTATCTAGGTGCCAGCGCATGATTTACGCAGCGAGCATTATCACTTCTCATTATCAAATGTTGATGTACGGTCAAAGTTGCATGTTGTTGAATAGGGAGACTGTCTGAGGAATTTATGAATTACTGATTCACAATGGTCAAGTTTGTATGAAATGTCCTACTGCAAACTCATAAGCTTCAGCATTCCGTGCAACCATGGAGTAACGTTTGCTACCACAAGCCCTGAACAGTTGCCAACTTTAAGTTCGCAGACTGCCAACTTTATATTTATCTGTACCTAGTGTGGACCCATGAACAAAAGAATCTTACATACACATGTACATGTAATGCAGGTTGTGTGAACCTTGTGTGGACAAAACCAGGTCCACACAAGGTTACCCCCTTGCTAGGAAACAGTGTAGACAAAACCAGGTCCACACAAGGTTACCCCCTTGCTAGGAAACAGTGTAGACAAAACCAGGTCCACACAAGGTTACCCCCTTGCTAGGAAACAGTGTAGACAAAACCAGGTCCACACAAGGTTACCCCCTTGCTAGGAAACAGTGTAGACAAAACCAGGTCCACACAAGGT